AACAACATCTCTTGTCTGTGTAAAAAATGAACAAGCATTAGATGGTGGTGGATAGTAAAAGAGGAGAGGAAGCAGGAAAAAACTGGGGGCCTGGATGCTAAAATACCAGGCAACAGGTTAGAGACCCAGATTTTATAGAGAAAGAGGGTCCGTGAAAACACCAAAGGTGATTAATGGCAATTAAAAACAGGAATGCTTCATACTCAGCTTAAAATTGCTGGTGTTACTGCTATAAAATCTCCATCACTCCCAACTTTTAATAAAATATATCAAAAATTTGTGAGCTGTTTGAATTTAATGCTCAAAAGGGAACTATCCCCTCTGTTAATGTTGGTAGGGTACAGTGAGAGGTGTGGAAATTAAGACTGTCAAAGTGAGAACAAGTAGAGGTTATGTATGTATTCAGAGCCACCATCTCTGTGTTTGGCAGAGACTCTGTGGCACCTAGGGGAGGTGGACGAGCTTGCTAGTAGGAAAACGGGAAGGCTGCAGGTGTGCTCAGGATGGAGGCTTCTGGCCTGAGGAAGCTGGATGAGTTGGAAGAGAGGTAAGACTGTCCTGGACTATTAATGAAATTTGTGCTTTGACTTCCTGGACTGCTCGCTGCCCTTTGTATATTCAGTCTTTAGGAAGCAAACAGCCTGAGAACGTGAAGGAAGTGAGCTATGAGAGAGATGGAAACTCAAGAGAATTGTCAGTGAACCATGAGAAAAACCGAAACTCATCCCACTGCCATGGAGTCAATTCTGTGTCATAGTGACCCTGTGTAGGACAGAGGAGAACTGTCCCCGAGGGATTTTCAGACTGTAAGTCTGTATGGGAGCAGAAAATCTCATCTTTCTCCCAAAGAGCGGCTGGTAAACTTGAACCACTGACCATGCTGTTAGCAGCTCAATGCTTAGTCTGCAGTGCTACGAGGGCTCCTTGAGCTGGGAATGTTGGAAAGGACCCTGAATTTCTTAGAGGATGTGGGGTTGAAGGTTTTATTTAAAACTCAGCATTTGTGGTGACTTCAGTTGACACGTCAGTTACAAATGCATATATGTTTTTTGTTTTCTTTTTGAGAAATTGGCATTCTGTAAAACAGCTTTTAGATTGCTCCCTTTAAAAAAAAATCCTGTTCCTACTAATAGGATGAGAATTGGTATGAAGAAAATTATAGTAGTGATGTAAAAAGTGGCCTTGCCCCTTGAAACTTAACCATTTGGGGCGCTCATTTTCATCACTCATACATTTAAGCTGTTGTTGTTAAGCACTGTCTAGTTGATTCCGACTCATAGTGACCCTGTCCAGGGTTTTCAAGGAGCAGCTGGTAGGTTTAAACTACCGACCTTGTGGTTCGTAATCCAGTGCTTGTCCTACAGCCATATATATTTATAGATTTTGTTAAGTGCCGTCGAGTTGCTTCTGATTCATACTCACCCTGTGTAGGGTTTCCAAGGAGTAGCTGGTGAACTTGACCCGCCAACCCTGAGGTTCAAACCGACCTTGCGTTCCAGCGCATTATTTATCCCACAGCGCTGCACTAGGCTCCATATTTATCATAAGGACCTTTTAAGCCACTTCTTTAAATGAAGTACTGGAATTGAGCCAGGGTCAGGAATTAATGGGGTCAAACTGGGGTAGGACAGGAAATCAATGTGAAAAGCAAAGATGAGACCATAGTAACGGAGGTTCCCAAGGGGTGTGCTGGGAGCCTGGAGGAGGTCACCTTACTCTGTCTGACTGGGTCTGAACATGAGTTAGAGAAGGAAATATAAAGCTTAAATGTAAGGAGGTGTTAACTCCTGGGTGGCTGTTTGGTGAAAGTTGGTGCTATCACAGAAAAAGCCAGGTGCACAAAGGGAGGACGTGGAAAATAATTTCAGAAGCCATTTTAATATTTCTCCCAATATTGTTTTGGGGCATTGAAGTAATTTACCTTAAACTACTAAAGTATAGAGGATTGGGATTATATGCTTGTGTTGGTTTTAATCTCTTCCCTGGGAGAGATTAGTTTGCACATTAAGTACTCTTGTCAAGAATACATCCTCCAGTGGTGGTGGGTTAGGTTAGCCTTTGAAATACTCTGATCAGAAGTTCATACTTTCTAGGTTGCTTTTACCATGATCTAGATATGTATCTAGTTTGGTGAAATGAGTCCTTTTTTTCAAGATACGGATTTGCTAGAAATATTGTACAGGTGCCCCACCCTTGCTCGTATGGGTAAAAGAATCCAGACAGCCCAATAGAGCGGTTTTCTTGATACTGGTCTCTGAACGATTCCTGTGTGTAGTCATTTTCTTGATACTGGTCTCTGAACGATTACTGTGTGTAGTCAGTTTTTGAAGCTAATGCTGCCTGATTCTTGACTTAGAGGAATTTAACCTTTAAAAAAAATTTTTTTTTTTTTTTTGGTGGAACTCTTTGGCAGTCTGGTGAAGGCTGTGGTCTCATTCTCAGAATGACATTTTAAAATAAATAATACATTTAGGTATGTTGTTGTTGTTGGGTGCGGTTGAGTCAGTTCTGATTCATACTGCCCCTGTGTACAACCACAATGAAACATTGCCCAGTCCTGTGCCATTCTCACAATTGTTGTCATGTCTAAACCCATTGTTGTCGCCAGTGTGTTAATCCATCTTCTTGAAGACCTTTGACTGACTCGATGTCACTTAACAACTACTTTACCAAAGGGCATGGTGACTTTGTAGGATAAGCACTGGACTGGGAACCACAGGGTTGGTGGTCCACACCACCAGCCTCTCCATAAAGATTTACAGCCGTGGAAACGCTATGGGTCAGTTCCAGTTTGCCTTGTTGAATCACTGTGGGTCACAGTAGACTCTGGCAATAGCTTTGGGCTTTTTGTTGTTGTTGTTGTGGTATTTTCTGTTTATAATATAATAAGTGAGTTTGTTTCCCTCGTATCCTTTGTTGTTGTTAGTGCCACCAAGTTGGTTCTGACTTATAGTGAACCTGTATAGGGTTTATGAGGAGTAGCTGGTGGGTTTGAACTGCCAACCCTCCAGTTAGCAGTCCAGAGCTTATCCTACAGTACAGCTGTTAAGTTTTGATTGTAGTGATAATAAAATCACCTTGCCTACTTATCCCAATTTTCATGTTAGCTAGTCAAAATCATTTATTTTATGCTTATGTATATTTTATTTCCTCCAGTATTTATGTTACATTGGAAATGTGGATTAATTTGCAGAGAACTGATCATTTTGAGTCTTCCCATCAATGACTATAGTAACTTTAAGTAATTTTTGTGTTGTTTTTTCTTTAAAGAGCATGATATCATCTACATCTTAGAATTCTGTTGCTCTTGTAAATGTATCTTAATTTCAGTTGTATTTCAAGGACTGTTGTAGGTTTCTAAGAATACTGTTAACTTTTGTGTGGTCATCTTTTATCTGACAATCTTGCCAAACTGGCCAAGCTCATTTTCTGTTTTTCAAACTTATTTAATCTCTCTCTTCTCTAAGCTCAAAGGTCTGATATAGTTGCTGATCATGTTGGTAATTGTTAATAGTGAGGTATATTTTTTCCATTGTATAGCTTTTGATTTTGCCAAAAGTAGAAGTTTGAAGTTTTTCACAAAATATGATGATATCTATGCTTTGAGTGTGGTGTAATCTCTTAATGGAAGAAGGATAAATGATTCATTCCTGGTTCTTATGATCCTTGTGCAAATATCCAGATACAAGATAGTAAAGCCATCAAGTGCTACAACCTTTGTAAGGTAGAAACCTGTCAGGGCTGGAAAGCTCAAATATTTTCCATTAAAACAAGTGATAGCAAAGTGGTGAGACTGCATGCGCCGTGTCAAAGGCAGAAAACTTGTGAGATCCGGAAAAGCAAGGCAGTTACATTGCATTTCAATTTTTACAGGTTTCTCATTACATGTAAACTTACATGAAATGGAGCTGTAACAAGTTAATTCTAATGAGCTCCTACTGTGATGCTTACCTGGGCAAGACATCCTTTTGTTGGTTTGAATGGCAGCATGTCATCCAACTGTGAGAGTTTTTGCTGCCCTTTCATCCATGTAGTGAGAATAAGCCTCAGGCTCCGGAATAAATTAAGTATGTACAACAAGAATTTTGTGTATTTCCTCCAAAAGAGTTCATTAAATGAAAGAGTAGGTTTCATACTTAAGCTTTAGCAATGATCTGCCCTCTTTTTTTTTTTTTTTAATTAAGCATTTTTTTCATTTTAGAGACTACATTTGGTTTGTGCTTTTTTTAACTGGTGAAGCCATAGGATTGTTTTATGCAATGGATTTACGTCTTTTACATCTAAAAATAAGCAAGATGAACTTGTTTTAGCTCTTTGACGTCCTTGATGAAACAGAGATTAAGCATCTCTTTCCTTCTTCCAATAGTTTGATTGAAACAACACCTACAATATGAGTGTGATCATCAGCTTATGCATATTAATTTCATGATTTAATGACAACGTATTCCAATCAGATTTTGTATTAGATGACAAGGCTTCAAGAATGTCACAGAAAAATTTAAATAAAATATAATGGAATTTTTTTTACAGACTTTTAAAATTCTCCTTGTATACTAAAATCATTTTCATAAAACATAGAAGTTTGAGAATTACTCTGACTTGAGGACTTTTCCAGAGGTTGATGAGCGTGATGGTTTATTAAATGGTACAGAAAGTTTAAATCCAGGGTAAATTTACTTGATTTCCTCCCCCCTGCCCCATCTCTCTGATTATTGATTCTGTCAGTAGGAAAAAACCTACCTAGACCTATTCCCATTGGGTTGATTCTGACCCATAGAGCAACCCCGTGTGACAGAGTAGAACTGCCTCTTAGGGTTTCTGAGACTGTAAGTCTGCATGGAAGCCAATTGCCGTATTTTTTCTCTCACCATTTGCTGGTGAGGTCAAAGTGCCAACTTTTGACTTGTACCACCAGGATATTTCAGAAGTATAGATAATTGTTAGTATCAGTTTTGATTTTGTAAAGATTTGAGACAAACCTTGTACACCCTTTGTTTTAGGTTGTTGATTATATCCTGCCACCCTTGGTCTCCTTGGTTCAAAGCCAAAATGGTAAGTGTGAATTTACCATACTCATTTACCATATCAGTGAATATTTTCTGTTACACATTCTATTTTTATTCCGTCTCCAAGTAGTCACAGTCTTGGTATTTGTTTCTTTCAAGTGGAGTGGAGGCTCTTCAGTTTACGGTTGCTTTCAGAAACCACGTCTCTACTCGTGAACAAGGATGTTGGGGATGGCAAGATGGAGGCGAGCCTCGATTCTGACAGCAGTCTTCTGGCTCTCATTAAAGATGTACTACTTCCCCAGTAAGTACTGTGCTGCTCTGCTAATGTGGAGAAGTGGAATGTTCAGGATGCTTCTGCCAAACTAGGTCCAATCATAGGCAGTAGTCCTTGACGGTCTTATACTATAATTAAGCCCCAAATACTTAATGACATTATGCATTGCTTTGGGTAAAGCTAAGATAACCATCTTTTCACTGTACAGAGCAGTCAAGAAACAGAAGCAGTGTTTCTGAACCCAAGACTATATTAGTTCATCTTCACAAAGAGCTGTAACTGCACTGAATCTAGTCATGTAGATTTAAAGGTGTCCATGACTCAGTGACCGAGCTTCCTGATTCCAGGTGTACATTACAAGACAGAGGAAATAGGAAAATGGGCCTTATCTTGGTGCACAAATAGTACCAGTTGAAGGAAAGCCTTCCTATCACAAATGCTTTGTGTGTGTGAATTAAGCAAAGATTTACAGAACAGATCATCAGTTTTACATTCAAGAAATCATACATTTTGTTTCATTTTTATTACAAACGCCTCCATGTACCGTCAGGTAACAGTGTTTACTTTTATTCCCTTAACTCTTGCACTTCTCCCTGTGTCTTCTGCTATCTTCATCTTTTTCTGCTAACCTCCTTCTTGTTGTACTCCCTTTCCTGTCACCCACATTAACATGCGTTAGTCCTGGTGTGACACTGTGGGTTAATGTGCCAAACTGCAAAGTCATTTGAACTGCAAGGTCAGCGGTTCAAGCTCACCAGCAGCTCCTTGGAAACCCTATATAGGGTCACTTCTAGGCACTGAATAATCCTCCCTTCCTTCACACCCTGGGTAACCATCGTAGCATGTTTCTTTTAGCATGAAGACCTTTTCTTGACTTTTTGCAATCATGGTCATCGCATACAACATGTGACCTTTTGTTTTTGACTGATTTCACTCCAGCTGAATGTCCTCCAGGTTCATCCTTGTTGTGAGGTGTATTACAGATTCATTGTTATTCTTCTATGTTGTTTAATATTCCATTGTGTGTATGTACCAAAGTTTGTCTAACCATTCTTCTGTTTATCATTTGGTGAATAAAGATTGATATCCTAGACATTAGTGACCTGAAATGAGCTGATATTGGTATGGTTTCCTGTCCTGAGAACAACAAACTAAAGAGGAATTCATTGCCAAAAAGAACATTTCAAGATCTAGCTTGAAGTTCAATGTTGTCTATGATAGGATAATCTCTACCTAGAAGGAAGACCAGTTAATATCACTATTATTCAAAATTATCTAGTAATCACTGGAGCCAGTGATGATGAAATGCAAGAATTCTACCACCTTCTTCAGTCTAAAATTGATCAAACACGCAGTCAACGTGAATGGAGTAAGAAGTTCGAAACAAAAAAGAAATATCCATAGTTAAAATATATGGCCTTTGTGATAGACATGGTACTGGAGAACGCATGATTTTGATTTATAGAGCCAACCTCATTTTTTTTTTTTCAGTTGTTGATTTCAGAGAGACCCTTGATACACGATATACCTTAAGGATACTTTTGATACCCAAAATAAGAAAATAGTTATTACTTAACTTGTCATATGGAATTTTCTCAACAATGCATTATCAAAAAATACATTTTCTTATGCAGTTGTTTTATATATACATATGGATTATATATGTGTTGTTGTTGTTGTTAAGTGCCATCAAATTGGTTCTAATTCATAGTGCTCTTGATAGGACCTTGAGATTGAATGCCTGTCCTATGGTACCGCATGTGTAGATAAAGTAGTTAGTTATACTTTTGTGGTAAATAAAAAATCAGAACCTTATATCATAGAATGAATTAATGCTTTTCAGTGCTACTGTATGTTTCTAAAACTACTTGTAAATAATCATGTGTTATTTTGATAAGAAGGAGCTCTGGTAGCGTAGTGGTTACGAATCGGGCTGTGAACCACAAGGTCAGCAGTTCGAAACTACCAGCTGCTCTGCGGGAGAAAGAT